TAGTAAACAGACAAAGAAATCCCACAATAAAAATTGTGTACAAATCTTGAAGTGAAGAAATCAAATGAAATTACCACACACTGCTGCACTACCAGCTAATCACAAATCCTGAGGAGAAATTTTACACCTTTCAGCTTCACGTAGAACCGGGTTTAACAAACCAGCCCAAGCCAAAAATCATCTTGTTCGTGACCACACCTGTGAGCTGTGGCACAACTATCAGCACTTAGATTTCAAAAAAAGAAAACTAACACTTTCTGTACACATCTTAATTGCTGAGACAATCAAGATATTCACGGAATCAGAAATCATACCCTGGTGGCTGTTGTCCTGGCGCCAACGCCCTCCTGAGCCCACGCCACCGCCTGCTGAGCCTACGCCGCCACATCCCGCGCCGCTATTGCATCTCAAGGCTACGCGCCGTGCCTCCCTAGCCACGCCGCTGCTGCCTCCTAGGCCCTCATAGAAGCTGCAGCCACCACATCCCAGACCCACGCCGGCCACCGCATCTCGGACCCGCGTCACTACCGCATCCCAAGCCCGCGCCTCCGTATCTCGAGCCCTCCCATGGCCACCTCCTGGGCCCACGCCACCGCATCCAGGGCCGAGCCGCCGCCGTCTTCCAAGGCGGCGATGGCCAGCCTAGAGGCCAGGCCTTGGCACGGTGCTGTTGAGGAGGGAGAGAGGGGCCAGCCGATGTAGGCGAGGGAGAGGGAGGCGTGGCCGGCGGGGGATCCTACGGCCTACGCCGAGCGCGGCCGCCGCTGGCCAAAACCCTAACCGTCTGCCGGACTGGGAGAAGGAGACGGAGGCGCTTGACGAGGACGGAGAGAGGGGCGTGGTGCCGGCCAGAGTGGAAGATGGAGATGCCGGCCGGAGAAGGATGCTGTGGGCGGAGAGGGAGGCGCCGCCACCGGCTAGTCGCGACTCACGACTCCCGAGAGGTCACGAGCGAAGAGGAAGGAATCGTGTGTGGCTGTTGGCTCTCTTCACGGAGGCCGGAGCATAACATCGATGTCTCTTTTTTTTTAGGAAATTGGGGGAAAAAAAGGGAATCGAACTATGGCCATCGGCAGAGGGAGGGAGTCGCGCGCGGGCCGCGTGGTGGAAGTGGGATTTGGGATGAGCCATGAGGTTTGATCCAGAAAATATGGTCCGTTAGATTCGAGTGAGCGAGAGAAAGAGAGGTTAGAGTGCATCTTGTGCGTTTGTTTTAAAAGTTGGCTGGCTTTAGGTGTACTTTTTTAGCTGCACGTAGGATAGTTCATAACTGCGGTGGACTGTTTTTTTATGTGGCTCTATGAAAGTTCACGACCAGTGCATTATTAGTGGTAGAGATTAGATAATTAGACGTCACCATCGTCAAATCTACTCTTCTGTCAATCAAACAACAGATATTCTGACCAGGATGAACATAATCACTAGAACCGGTACAGCGACACAGACAACAATAAAAAACGATCCCAAGCATCTACGTAACGTCATAATCCATGACTCCGGTTCCGGTGGCTATCAAATTATGATTTGTTATAATTAATCATCGTCCAGTATAGATTAAAAAAATAGAAATGATTAGGAGCGTCTGGACTCCAGACGGTGCTTTTCATAGGACGCGTTAACCCGTCAGATCTAAACATGTGGTTCCTTGCCGCATTGCGCCGCCGCCGCCACCATGCCACGCTTCATCCCCCGCGCGCCCCACTTCGTCTTGCGGCTTTCTCCAGCACGCTATCTGCCTTCTCCACCGGAGCAACCCACCGCGGCCTTCTCCGCCGGAGCAGCGAGCTCCGCGCCACCGCCGAGCTCTACACCGGTGAACTTCACGCGCCGACGCACCTCCGTTCCCAAGCAGCAAGGAGATGTTGCGCTGAAAGCATATGTTGCAAACGTATGGTTGAAGTGTTTTAGAGGTATGTTGCAATTGTTTTATACCGGTGTTGCAAAAGTAGATCGCGATGTTGCACATGTTGCAATGGCTATATATACACGTATGTTTAAAGTGTATGTTCCAAATGTTTCATTTGTTTCAAACGTATGTTGCAAGTATTTCATATAAATGTTGCAAATTTAGATCTGGATGTTTCATATACAAGTATGTTGCAAGTGTATGTTTCAAGTGTTTCAGGTATTTCATACGTAGGTTGCAATTATTTTATCTGGATATTGTATATGTTTACAATGGCTACACATGTGTTTTCCTGGTGTTTCAGACATATGTTAGAAGTGTTTCAGCTGTTTTGGATGTATGTTGTAAGTGTTTCATCTAGATGTTGTAAAAGTAGATCCGGTATTGCATATGTTGCAATGGGACCCACTTACATAACAAGACCATGCAGCTATTGGATCTGCCATGGGTCACCTTGGATGCATCGCCATGGGTCACCTGCGGGACGCCTGAGTGGTCCCGGAGACGAGCGCATCCACGACGCGCATCCACAGGCAGGGCAGGTGACTGGAACCCACGTGGGCGCAGGCGGTCCGAAAGCGAAACGGTTGCGAGCTGGCATTCGCGAGGAAACAGAGCGGCACAGGGCGGCCCTGCCTGACTGCCTGTGCAAGCGAAGCGTGCATACTCGTGAGACATGCAGCATGCACCATCCCACGTTAGGGCTTGGAATCGAACGTCCATGCGCTAGAAAGTTCTTAGAATATAGTTTCCCACCACCAATTTTAAGTCAAACGCACCAGGTCTACTACAACTCCAGCAACCGCGTGGGAAGCGCGGAGAGCACCCTCTCAATTTGAAATCAGACTACAACTCCAGCATGGAAGGCCCAACATAGGCCGTACGATTCGAAGACCTCACGCGGTCGCGCCCGTTAGAGCCGTGGGCGTCGAATCTGATTTTAGGGATCATCCGCTTCATTTTCCACCCATTTTGAGAATCTCGTTTCCTTTATTTTTGAGTGCCGGGGGCCCATCGCCCATGGCGGTGGCGGCCTATGGACAGTAGTGTTGGGGAAAAGAAGTACATTTATGTACGTATCCAACAAAGAAAAGTCCGTCCGACCAATCAAATTTAAAATGTTTCTTTTGCCTCACAGGTACTTCCTCCGTCCCGTACAAATTATTAAAATCGTACAAAATAAAAAATACCTTGAATTTGATTAATTTTATAGAAAATAATAATGACACGTACGACATTAAATAAATATATTTTATGATATATCTATAATACTAATTTGATGGCATAGATATGCATTATTTCTTATAAACTTAATTAAATCCAAATAATTTGACTTAGAAATAACTTTAAAAGTTGATTTAATTAGGTAGTGAGGGACTATTTCAAGAGTAAAATTTATTTGACTTGCACAGTGGTATATAGCTCTCTAATCTTGATTTAGGCGTATCTGAACTTGTACAACAGTACTGAGTTCCCAACTCTTTAATTTTGATTTTTGAGTCCCAAAACTTCTATAGCGTTGTCAATCTCTGGACTTGCACGATAATATATGGGGGTCGTTTGGGAGAGCTCTAGCCTCATGTTTTCCTAAGAGAATCACTCCTAACTAGTTAAATTCTCAAAATACCAACTGATTGGTGGAGATTATGAGAGAATCACTTATCCATTTACACTAGGAGTTTGGAGCTAAAAAACTTGCTTCACCCTGCCCCTCGTTATATTCCAATGGAGATCAGCAGAGAATCAATTCTCATCGACTTTAGGACTCCAATGAAATCACTTCATCAGAGAATCAAGGAGCAGAGCTGAAGAATTAGTAAAAAACGGGGCTATAATTAGCATACTTGGCCAGTCACAGTGGAGAGTTTTATTGCATTGTTTTTAAAACTGCCATGTCATATAGAATGAATAAAACTTGGATGAAACACCCACTCTCAATGCAAAGTTTCATTATCTGGTTTCATAGACATTTAATTTTAAGACTCATATAGAGTTGGTAATCGTGCCATGAGAGTTTCATCCCCGTGAAACTCATTTCTTCTATCTCTTCATTAACACCATGTTCGCTTGATCGTTTATGTGGCTTATAAGTCGGCTGATGCTGTTTTGTTGTGAGAAAAAAATATTGTATCATGGCTGATAAGCATGGCTGATACGATCAAGCGAACAGGATGTAAAACATTGCCATGTCATCAAAAATACATATATGGCAGACTATTTAATATAAATGAAACTCTCATGAAACTCCCACCAAAATTGGCGCCCTATCAATACGTGGACTCAAATACCAAAATTATCGGTGTCAAGTTTGGGGATCAAGATGGTATTTTCTTGTCCCTGAAAGAATGAATTCCTAACAACTTTAGGATAGATTAGCAAAGAAGATAAAAGACCATCATGCCCCTTATTAAACTGTTGAACCTTAATAGCTCTTCCGTTACCGAGAAGACTAATTAAGTAATGTTGTTTGGAGTATCCAATAACAATGCAGAAAAGAGATGTTATATTAAATGCAACCCAGACTACAAGAGATATTAATGTGGATCGGTGGACCATTCACCTCCAGAAATCGATTCTTTTGAAGACAAATTTTTAACCTAGAAATTAATTCTTTCAGGTAGACAGAGGGAGTATCACCATACAAGTTTTAGGGCTTAAATACCAAAATTTGAGAGTTGAGAACCTAAATGACACTATAATATAAGTTTAGATACCTATAAATCAAAATTTGAGAGTTAGAGACCCCTAAATTTTACTCGTCAAAACCATTTACTCGGCGGCCGGCCACACTGATCGCTTGGTTTCCCAGGCCATGGCGGCGCACGCGCATCGCCTCGCGGCTCGCGCCTCGCCAATTTCTCCCGCATGAATGCACCATGACGCGCCGTGCCAAATTCGCCGCCCCAAACCCCTCGCGCTGCTTCCAAAATTCTCCCGCATGATCGCTTCTTTCAATTTTGCCCGCTGCGATTTCCATGCTCGCGCACACAAACCTCCTGCATGGCCCAAGGCCAAGGGCCACAGCCATTTCTATCTACCTGCATACAGTTCTTCCATCATCTATTCATTCACTGCATGCACTGTTCTCCGACCAATGGCACCAAGAGAATTCGACCTAAACCATGTGCCAGCCGACTGGGACCTCAACGATGGCATCGATTGGGGAGATGCCATTGGCGACCGGGATGCACCGGCGCATGAACTCGACTACGACATGGTGCGGGATGATGGAGAAACAGGTACTGTTGCTCGATTTATTTTATTCTAAACCGAATGCGTGTTTGATTTTGGTCGTTTGATGCCACTGACTTGTTTTTCCTTGCCTTTTGTTTTTGGTCTCCTAGATGGAGATGGGCTAGGAGTGCACAACCAGGGAGATGATGATTCTTGTGATGCTCCTTCAGGAGGATATACTGACCCGGTCGGAGGGCATGGTAAATTGAACACACATCTGTCTTTGGCACATTATGTTTTGACCAATCGGATTCCTGATTAGATGTTCATTGTTTGATTACAAGATGCAAGTAATCATGTAGTGATTGGGGCTTTGGAACTTGGAGATGGAACCGGAGATGGAGGATCTACTGGAGATGAAGGTTAGTTCTCTGTGTTTCAATTTGTCGGACCAGAAACAGTACAATCAGGATTTAGTGTACTCCTAGAGATGTTCAGCTTTCAGTTACTTCGATTTGTCGCCATGGAGTAACTTCAGATAGTTACTGATTTATGCTTTATGGAGGTATAGCTACTGATATCTTGTCGGGATTCAGTGATGTGTATATTCTAATAGCTACTGATATCCTGTCGTATTGAAACAGTACTTTCAGGAGTTCTAATTTTGAGGTTTCCTATACTTGTAGGATCGAATGCTAAGAAGAGGAGGAGGTACTACTCAGACGATTTAAAGATCGCTATCTACCTGGAGTTGTTGGCAAAGACTGATCCACCTGTGCTGCGTCGTGGAGTTTCAAGTCAGGTTGCACTGAAATTTGGTGTGCCTCTGAGAGTAGTGCAGTCTGTGTGGCGCAAGGGTCAGGATTATGGTAGTATAGATGGTGTTAAAAACAAGATGCATAAGAATTGTGGTCGCAAGAGAATAGAAATAGATTTTGAAGCCATCAAAGCTGTGCCTCTGAGTGAGCGCACAACCTTTCAGAAACTTGCCAATGCGTTGGGTGTGAAGAAGAGCACACTTCATAGCCGTTTCAAGGAAGGGTATTTCGTCAGGACGCCAAAGACCTAAAGTTTGGTTATGTATTTAGTGTAGCTGCTGGTACTAGGATAGTCTATATTTAATGTGCCTGGATGGTCAGGAGGCAAATTTAGTGAGCTGGGACTAGTAATGTGCCTAATGGTCAAAGCAAATTTGGAGCTACTAGTACTAATAAAGTAATGTAGTAAAACCCTTACTACGGATCTTCATTGCCTCCCCGTGAGACTAGCTAACGAGTACTTTTTGCTGCTTCATTATGTCTTGTTCTTGGATTATATACTAGCAATTTCTGTTTCCAATTAAACAGTGTTAGATGCTAGTTGCTAGGTACTATGTAAGTTCAGTACTTCTTATTTGAGTTCGACACAGGTCTAAGCACCTGGATTATGAACAAACTTGCGGGAATGCAACATCAATCCATGAAGGAACGTGGCACTTCTAATCCCTTATTATGACATAACCGATAGATTGTTTTTTCTGTCGATACGTCATGTAGTCTAGTCAGCAATATAATCAGCATAGTATTTAGATTTTGGTTGTTAACAAGATCGCTTATTGTCAGTTTTTGTTGTTAGCCCCCCTGCACAATTGCAGATATAGCCGTAATTCTTTGAGTCTTTAGAGCAGGACAAAGTTTAGGTACAACGCAAAATGCTCTTATATCACCTTTCTTGCCATGCCATTTCCCCATTTTGTCTCCCTAGATCACCAATTCGTTACCACAAAAAATCTGGCAATCATTATCAAGAGGGCAGCACTAGCCCAGACGTCTGGACGGATGGCCCACGTGTCCTATTTGGTTGACGGACGGATCGACGTAATTTTGTGTTTGGTTCATAGCATAAAAAATGGGCGGGCCTGGGACCCATTTGTAAGTTTTTTTCTTTCGCCACTCCCCATCTTCTTCTCTCTCTCCTCCACGCTTGTTGCGCATCTTCCGTCCTCCCCTCCATCGGCCGCCCACAACCAGCCGCGCCTAGCGGTGAGCGGTGACTGCAAAAGGCACAAGGCGGATCCCGCCCTTGACGCTGTGAGGTTGGTGACTCACATTGCAACATGCACAACACCCCCGATCTACTTTTGAAACATACAAATAAAACAATTGCTGGGCGCCGTCGTCGTGAGGTCCTCAAAGGGCAGCTTAAACATTTGAAACATGTGTTTGAAACACATGAGGAGAAAAACAATGAACGATGCTCACGCCATATGCAACATCTAGTCTTGAATAAATACTCGTAGTAGGATGTGCAACACTCCCATATGTAAACATATGCAAACATCCAGATAAACACACTTGTATCACAATTCGTTACCACAAAAATCGGCAATCATTAAAAAAGAGATGGAAAAACATTCCGGGCGGGAACAAACACTGCGCAACATACGTGTACAATCATTGCAACATATGCAATATCCCGACCGGTTTTGCAACAGCATCTACTTTTGAAACATCCAAATAAAACAATTGAAAACACTTGAAACATAAACATATGAAATCATGTTTGAAACAATAAAAAAACATGTGACATTGCAACATGGGGAGTTGCAATATATGTCAGGCGATTCCAACCATTGAGGTCGGACACACTTGTAACAAGCGTCAAAAAAAAGCAGATGAAACACCAAACACCACCACCATCGCAATCATTGCAATATATGCAACACCGGCTTGGCTCGCATGAAACACTGGGGCTACGAAATCATCTCGAAACAATTGTGTGCTTGCAACATGGGGAGCCCAGCAAGCGACGAGGTCGGGATGGATGAAAGCACCACCACCACGCACCACCACCATCGCTAGCAAGGCGGGAGGCTCGGGCGCAATGGCGTGGGCGACGGACGGGAAGCGGACGGGATGGTTGCGCGACGGAGGAAGGGGAGTGGCGTTGCGAGAAGGACCAGAAGGGAAGGCTTGTTGGAGGAAGGTCGCGCGTTGGAGAAGGCCATCGGCGCTTGGTGGATGCGCGCCGTCGTCGCATGCGTGCGGCAGTGGGGAAAGGAAATGTCGTTGTGTTTTTAATTTTTTGGAGAAACCGCATCGTACTTGAAAAGTAGAGCGGGGGAGGCCTGTTGAGCCCGATCGCTGGGCAGGCCCGGAAACAAACTGTCCGACGGAACACGTCTTGACGGACACCCGTGTGCCAGCATTATCCGTTATCAAGAAACAGCGAAAAGAAACAACAAACTGAAAATGACAGACATCTAGATAAACACGGTCAAAGAATCAAAACTCACTTCACAACGCATCGGAGCTAGCTGCCTAAGGTACACCAGGTTGGAGGACGCATTGACATATCGCAGCAGAAAATCCTATCGCACGCACGCACGCGCTCACCATCCCGCGCGCACATAGCCGGCGGCAAGCCTGCCACGCGCGAAAAAAAAAATCGTCGGCGCGCGGCCACCTAGGTGCAGGGCTTGGGGAACTGGTAGCCGACATACTTGGCCGTGGCGTTCTCGCACTTGGCCGACGTGCCGCCCTGCCCCATGTACTTGAGGTCCACGTCCTGCAGCACCAGGCCCTGGCACGGCACGCCGCACCTGAGCATCACCGCCACCGGCGTCGTCGTCGTGCCCTTGATGTTCTTGAACTGGATGTCCTCGAGCGTCACCCCGGACACGTACTGCATGCAATGCGCGCAACATTTTTTCACGAGCACATGAGATGTAGTCACCAATGGCGGCGGCACGGCGCGCCACGACGTCGTACACGTATAGAGCAGAAGGTACCTTGTGCTCGCAGTTATAGTAGGGGCAGTACTTCTGGTCGATGATGATGGGGTTCCGGACGTCCTCCATGAGCAAGTTCTCGAAGAGCATGTGCGCGGCGCTGCTCTTGGTGGGGGAGTTCTCCCACGTCTTGATGCGGACGCCGTTGTCGGTGCCGGTGAAGACGACGTCGCGGACGTGCACCCGCGTGACGTCGCCCTCGCCGGCGTACCGGCCGAGGCTGCCGACGCTCATGCCGTGGCCCGGGCCGCACCGCACGCGGGCCACGTCCACGCCGTCGTTGCCCTGGCCGATGGAGATGCAGTCGTCGCCCGTGCCGATGCGCGCGTCCGTGATGGACACCCCGGCGCTGCGCTCGATGTGGATACCGTCCGTGTTGGGGCTGTCGGGCGGCGCGCTGATCCGGAGCCCGCTCATCCGGATGTTCTTCGCCTGCAGCAGCGCGATGTGGAAGAACTTGGGGTTCACCGACGTCACGTCACGCACCGCCGTGTTCCGGCTGTTGACGAACCGCACGCTCTGTGCATGTATGCATGCATGACAGACGGTCGATGGCATGTCAGTCATCGGAGGCCCATGCATCTATCGGAGACGGAGAAGAAGAAGAAGAAGCTAGTTGCTGCGTGTGCTTACGGTGGGGAGGACTTTGCAGTCCTTGCGGAAAGGGCACTCGTTGAAGGGCCAGGCCGCGGCGCCCTGGCCGTCGATGACGCCGCCGGCGACGGTGAGCCCTGTCACCCACCCGAACTCGATCCAGTCGTTGCGGAACCGACTCAGGTCCGTGTCAGCCTTGAGCGTCCCCTGCACCGCACATCACGTAAGAGACCGTAACTGCATCCAGGGTCCAGCCAGTTGGTGCTTGACTGGCAACTACCGATGGATCGGAGTGCAATGCAATGCAACTGGATCGATCACTTGCCTGCAGCTGGAAGGTCAAGGTGGAGGCGTTGCAGGGGCCGTGGAACTGCACGGGGCCGATGTAGTACGTCCCCGGCGACAGCAGCATCGTCACCGCGCCGGCCGACCCGCACGCCGCCTTCCACGCCGTCATCAGAGGCTGCATTGCATGCAATGGCATTCATTGTTCAGAGATGGTCAGAGTCAGCAGGACGAGGATGGATGCATGGATCGGAGACGAAGAAAGCTGCTCCAAGCCTCCGACCTTGGTGTCGTCGTCGACGCCGTTGCCCTTGGCCCCGTAGTCCTTGACGTCTACGGTGATGGTGGCCGCCCCGCCGGCAGACGTTGACCGCAAGAGCGCGACGACGACAAGGAGCAGCAGTGGCCGCCGCGCCATCAGCCTGCGGTGCAGCTACGCGCTTTGCAGCCTACGCAGTTCCTTCCTCCACGAAACAGCGCCAAGCCTTTGCTGCAACAGCGCGAGGAGAATGGAGGAACGGCACCGCGACCGCCGACAAGTTAGCGAACGGTCGGCGTCGGCAAGGTCGTCGACGTCCGCCGGCGGCGGCCTCAGCCCCAGCGTCCGCCACCACGACGCGTCGACGCGAAGGGTGAAGAAGCGGGAGAGGAAAGCCGGCAGGCTGCGCGCGCGGCCGGAGGCTGCCGGGACGGGGGTACACAGCTGCAAAAGGCGAGGGTTCGGCTCGGGGGGTCCAAGTCGAACCGCCCGCTCGCCCACCTGCCCACGTACGTTGCCCAAGCCACAGACCAGAAAATCAAATCCCTTTGCCGCGCACCGCATTGGAATCCGACCCTTTGCTGTGAAGCCAGCAGCGAACGTGGTGCGGCGTGCTGGCGACGTCGGCGAACGCACGTGCACGTGTTTCGTTAAGAGGGATGACAGAATTACTTGTCCATGACGAATAATGAGTATGACCGCGAGAGCAATTACATAATCACTCGAGGACGAAGAATCCATAACAGTGATAGTTGACGATTCCCGGCCATGATCAAGAGCTCCCATACGGCCACTGCTGCTCTGAATACAAGTGTATATGCTTTGGAAACTTCTATTCGTGATCTGAATAAAAGTGTATTTGTGCATATGATTTCCTTTGGAAACTCTATACTTCCCTGAATGAAAATCAGTTGCGCGTATAAACCCTTTGAAAACTTCCCCTTTAGAAGCTCCTTATACTCATTTGAAAAAGCTTGTAGGTCCTTGAATGAAAATCGAAATGTTTAGTTGGTGCCCTGAGACGGCCATTTGGAATTGGCGTGCGCATGTCCGTTATCTGTCTTTGATTTTATAAAATTGAAAAATTAACACAATTCCACAGGAGCTGAGAACTAATGGAGTTCATTTGGACTAGCAATGGATGCAGCTTTACATTGATATATTTTCCTTATGTTACGAACTTGAACTTTTTGTAAATTTTGCAATTTTCAGGGAAAATGAACATGTTGAAAACCAGATTTTAGGGACCGATCCAAGATATTGCGGGTGCCTAATAAACAACAAACGGTAATGCTTGTGTCCGTGTGTTCCGACGCATCGGACACTCAACGGACCCACGAGCAAGGCTCTCACAATCAAGCTTGCTCGGATGTCTCCGTTCTCAGGCTTATTTTATTATTTCTCTCCTACCTTATTCTCTCATCTCACTTTTCCACCACCGTCGACCCTCCCTGTATGGCGTCGCTGATGGCCAAGGCATGCACACCGCTGTTCGCCGTTGCTGACCGGTTTCTTGGCTTCCCGCGTGGCGAGCTATGGCTGCCTTCCACAGGTCTTGTAGCTGAGTGAGCTCCGCTCCGCCCCCACGGCCCCACCCATGGTCGTAAGCACTGGAGCTCCACTCAATGCACCCCTACCGAGCCTGTCACCGGCGATGGGTTCCACACTGGCTACTTGGACCACCACGCAGTTCGTGCCATGGCTCCTGGACCCGCGGGGCGCGTCGTGCGCGTGTGGTGCTCCCGCTCCTGCCACCACCGTCTCCGCTCACCTGCTTCTGCCAGGCCGTGGCCACTAACGATATCGTGTTTTCAAGTGTTTCATCTGGATGTTGCATATGTTGCAATGGCTATATACGCATATTGCAAGCGTATATTTCATGTTACAAGCATATGTTTCAAGTGTTTCAAACGTATGCTTCGTGTTTCATCTGGATGTTGCAGAAGTAGATCTGGATGTTGCATAACATGCATGTTGCAAGCGTATGTTTCGAAGTGTTTCAGGTGTTTCATACGTATGTTGCAAGTGTTTAATCTGGATGTTGCATATATTTGCAATAGCTTTTCAAGTGTTTTGCTTCAGACGTATGTTACGTATTTTGCAAGTGTGTTTATCTAGATGTTGCGAAAGTAAATGTGATGTTACACCTGTTGCAATGGGACCCACCTGCCGTTGAGCACCATCGTGTCACTGTGATGCATCTATATCGCGCATCCACAGACGGGCGCGTGGATTCCTACGTGTATGAAACGGAGCAGACGTGAGGAAGCGGAGCGGGCACAGCACGGGAAAGAGCCGCGTTAGTGGCGCGGGAAACGGAGCAACGCAAGGCTGTCTGCAAAATCCCACGTATGCACGGGCTGGGACAGGAAGTAGGGCGCGTCCTGCAGGCGGACATCCAGACCCTAGCTGCCCCCGAACAACAAAACAAGCCGAATCACTGGTGTGCCTAAACAACAAAACAAGCCACAACTCGTTGGTCTTATTGTTCTAGTGGCTGCTGCTTTGGAAAGAAACGTTCAATGCAACTGTACGTTCAATGGTGGGACGTTCGCGGAAATGAAAAACGCAATGACAATCAGCAAAAAGGTAACATGGCTCAGAAAATATACAGAAGAATAATATGGCAAACCAGACTTAGCTTATTACTTCAAAGTTGTTTCAACAAAATAAGTACTGTATAATAACGTGCTCAGAAACACAGCCACGACCCCACATTCTGAAGAAGAAACGACCTAATAAGATAAAGACTGGCAGGCCTCCTCACATAACGAAGAAACAACCTAAGACCTAAGATAAGACTGGCAGGCCTCACATAATAACGAAGAAACGACCTAAGATAAACACTGGAAAACGGGCAGCAGGACTCAACCAGTTCCCATGGCGATCAAATCAGATCAGATCAGATCACTGACCACCACGGAGGCGGAGGACAAGGTGGAGGGTGGACTCCTTCTGGATGTTGTAGTCAGCCAAAGTGCGGCCATCCTCCAGCTGCTTGCCGGCGAAGATGAGGCGCTGCTGATCCGGAGGGATGCCCTCCTTGTCCTGGATTTTAGCCTTGACATTGTCGATGGTGTCCGAGCTCTCCACCTCCAGAGTGATGCTCTTGCCGGTGAGGGTCTTGACAAAGATCTGCATCTGTTGAATCGAATTCAAAGAACCAAATATTATTTGGCAATGCCAACGGATGGAAACTATAACGATCTACGAAAAGAAGTATCATCGGCAATGAATCTGTTGAATTGAATTGAAAGAACCATATATTAATTGACAATGCCAACCGATCGAAAGTAGAACGATCTACGAAAAAGAATCATCAATCATATCACGATTCACAACCTCATTGGAAACAGTCCTAGAAATCAAACACGGAGAGATTAGAGATCGATCGACAACTCGCATACCTTGAATGAACGCGAAGAAGATGGCGCGACTCGCGAGGAGAGAAACGAGATCGGAAACGTCAGGGGGGCTTGGATTGAGACGCCAAAGGGGTGGCAACCCTGTATATTTATACTAGCTACCGAACCCTAGCCAGGCCTTGGCGTGCGCGCCGTGGACTCGTTCAGTCGTTTGGGAGTTGGGACGGCGCCTAGGCTTGCGGGATTCCGCGCGAGATCACCAGAACTGATTGGCCCTTCTGACCTCTTCGCCATTATGAGAAAAAACGGACGGGCCCAGACCCAAGGAGGCTGTGTTGTTGGGCCGACCCTGGGCCAGATCCAAGCTTGGAAGGCCAGCAAGGCCCACGTACGAAGACCTCACTCCCGTATATAGAGAGGGCAAAAAAAAAAAGGAAGAGCCGTGGACGAATTTGATTTGAGGACACTTGCGTGGACGCCTTCGCCATTTCCGTCCATTTCTTCCCGTTGTTTCTAGAATCGCATTTATTTTAATTCGGACTGCAGAATCTGGTGCGTTTTATGAGGTCCGCAGTGAGCATCACTTCATGACAATTGGTGAGCAGCTTGTCCTTGTTTGGACTTTGGAGGATCTTGTGTGTTTGCTCACCCTTGTTCAAAGAACCCATGGCAGCTTTTGGAAAGTGTTGAAAACAGCACACGGCGGATGGACCCTAGATTTCTTCCAAATATAGGAGTGCCAATATCCAACGAAAAAAAAGTTCGGCGTATCCGATACGCAGCTCAATAAAAAAAATCATCTAGTACCTTTTTGCATGGGACTGGAATAATTAATATATAGACTCAAAAGAGGAGATCGATCGAATAATCTACACCTGACCTAAGAACCAGTAAGAGTGGATCCAAACGTAGAATATGTGCTAGTCACCGGTAAAAATTAGAAAGGTAAAAAAAAATGCTAGCAAAAGCTAGACCAATGCAACGATGATCGAAAAGAACAGGTCCAAAATACTTCTTGGATCGTGTCGACAAAAATGGACAAAATTGCACCAGATCGATGCGAGAGGATACGACGCGCACACGAAACGCCGCGGACGTGTTCGGCTGGCTGGCTGGCCTTCCAACTCACGAAATCACTGTTTACGTCCTATCAAAATAGTATTTTCCTCTCACAACAATCAACCGGAACAGTATTTTTCAGTCCTGCCGAACAGGGCCGTGCGGCTGGGGCTGCCACATGGCCACATCACATACGCGGGCCCACAGGCGGCTGGGGGCTGCTGTTCTGTCCGCCTGTACCACGCCACGCCCACGCGCCCACGCCCACGCCCACGCCCTGAGGGCTGAGGCCCACCGGCTCGTGCACACCGAACGCCGCCTCTCCGACTGGGAAATATCGACTCACATGCGACTGGTAGTATGCTGCATCACGTCTGCCGGATCAGGCGCGCCGAACCCGAGCCGCGCGGCGGTGGCCGGCTTGAGCACGGCGTCCGGGTCCGCGTCCACGGCGTCGGCAAGCCGCGGCCACAGCCTAGCGGTGATCTGCCACGACCCGTCCTCCAGCGGGCTCCGCGCCACCGTGATGGCCGCGGAACCCAGCCGCCCCGGGCGAATCCACGGTATCACCAGCCGCGGCCGCCCGAACCCGAAGTCCCCCTCCACGTGGAACGGCACGAACGACGAGACCACCAGCACGGGGCTCCCCGTGCCCGTGCCCACCACCTCCGTCCACTTGCCGCCCTCCCGGAACACCCGCTTGTGCGCCTCCATCCAGTCCACCAGCTCCTCGTACCGCTCCGACCGGAACACCTCCGCGATGGCCGCGCCCGCCATCGCCGCCACGTCGGCCAGCGGGGACGACGACACGGCCTCCACGTCCACCTCCCGCGACGCGTACGTCACCACGTTGCCGAGGTAGCGCCGCACGGTGCCCGCGTCGTACCTGGCGGCGTCCAGGCGCCGCCTGCCGTCGACGAGCCACGCCATGCGGCAGCGCGCGTCGCCGAGCCCGCCCGCGGCCGCGGCGAGCAGCTTCCACACGTGCGCGGACAGCGCCTCCAGCCGCGTGGCGCGGCGCGCGGGGGTGCTGGCCGCGGCGCGGAGCCGGTCCACGTCCGCAGCGGACACCACGTAGTTGCGGCGCACGAGCGTGGCCGTCAGGAGCGAGTTCGGGAGGCTCCCCGGCGCGTACCGCGTGAACTCGGCGTCCAGCGTCGGGCTGTACCGCGGCGGGTCACGCGGCCGGAAGAGCGAGGCCCGCTCGTGCTGAGGCTCCCACGAGAGGCCGCCCGTGCGGAGCAGCTCCGCCCAGGCGTTGGGCAGCGCCGTCAGGCCGTGGCCGTCCACGAGCAGGTGGTTGGTCGCCCATGACAGCGCGAACCCGCCGCACGCGAACCGGACCAGCTGCAGCGACAGCGCGAGGCCCTGCTGGAACGGCACCGCGATGCGGCCCAGCGAGCGGTCGGCGTCGGCGAAGTCGACGTCCGCGAGCCTCACTCCAGCGTTCGCCACCACGAGCTCCGCGCCGGCGTTGTCGCAGGCGATCTCGGGCACGCCGGTGTCGGCGTTGGCGACGATGCGGCCGGCGAAGGGGAAGAAGCGGGAGAGGAACGCGGGCAAGGCGGCCCGCGCGGCAGCCACCACGGCGGGGAAGCCCGCGGCCGGGGCGGGGTACACGGCGATGAGGTAGATGTGGAAGGAGCCGAGGATGAGGTCGAGGTTGGAGGGCTGGAGTACCGCGGGAAAGCCCCGCGGCGGGTCGGACGCCCGCACCAGAGTCCGTGAGGTGACCGCGACGTCGACGCGCTCGGCCGGCATTCCGGCGGGAAGGAACGAGCACTGTGGTCTTGGAGAGAGGGGAATGGGCCTCTGTTGTGGCGGTGGAGACATGAACGCAAGAAAGCGCACGCGAAGAAATGGTTGGAACTTGGGACTTGGGAGCAAGCGCTTGGACGCTTCGAGGCTTTGAAGGAGATGAGTCGATGCCTCGATGGGAAGCGTTCACACTTGCAGTTTGGCGGGAGGCGGGTCAGGCGGCGGAGAACGAAAGAATACCATACGTGCACGGGTACCACGGCCACATTTCAGAGAAGGCTTCGCACTCGTACCTTCATACGCAGGGCACTGACCTGTAAAGGCCAGAAAAAGGACCCTTCGGCCACATCCGTGTACGGTTCTGAGCCTTTCGACAATACCGGGCGATAATTCTTTCGTGAAAAACAAAACAATACCGGGCGATCAGGAAACAGAAACCGGAGTTGGTCAACAACTGTCTTTCAATGCTGAGTCTCCGTTGTGAGGAGTAGGCGTTCTGCCATGTTCCACTTTTCCTCTCCCCAATCCCCTTTCCCCTGATCCAATCCGTCCTAAATCCGTCTTCCTTTCAATCGAGGTCTTCTTCAATCATCGATCGACACCTGCAACCATCGATTCCGGCTCCGTTCGTCCGCTTCATTGCCAAGATTGTCACCTGCCCTGCCTCAGGGTCCCTCTTCAGCTGTCACCTGCACGGTAAATCTTTCCCCTTGACACGCGCCGATCTACCGATCCATTTCGTTTTCGCCACCGACAGACTTCGATCCACCGCTTTGCCACCTCCGTCATGCTCTACCTTGTCGATGAGCGTCAAAGCTCCAGGTTTCTTTACTCTGTCGTCTGTTTCCTTCTCCCTCTTTCCCCCAAAGAAAGAGATAGCTCCACCCATGGATCCTAAGCCACCTGATCGCTCCACCTCGCCCACTCTGCCAGCACCACCGCGCAATCCTCCTCCACCACGCCTGACAAATGCTTCGAACCAATCGCCGCTCCATCCTCACATGGATCTTGTGAGGTCCCCGGAGGCGCTCCAGCTCTCGTCACGTGCGGCGCAGAGCTCAGCTCACCAGGATGAAGAACAGGTGACCACACAATACAACCTGCTGTTGAAGGTGCCGGACCCCCAGGGGACGGCAAGGGCGATCCCGATCCATGTAGTCAGGCTTGAGCTCCAGATAGCTTGGGGAGATAGCTACAAAGCAGTCAACGAGGTACTGACAAATCTTTTTCTTGCCACCTTTGCCAACCCTGTAAGCATGATTTTTGTTGTCAAGAGGCAGCCTTGGATTGTTCGTCGTCACAATCTGCTGATAGAAATAGTAGATCCACAGAAAAATATTCCTGATGGTTATCGCTTTCAGTACATGTATGTCACTGTCAAGCTGTTTGGAAAAGCTAGAACTGTAGACAGGATAAACACCATACTGCAGGAAATTGGCGACCATCGGATTTGGATCAACTTAGTTACTCCTCCATCTTCCATCCTCCGTGATGAACTGTTTGAAGCGGCTACAGCAAAAATAAATGTCACTAGGAAAGCTACAGACAAGGTGTCTGTTCCAATCTCGGACACTAGAACTATTATAGTTTTCGTTCACTATACCAAAATTCAAACAATCTGCAATTACTGTGCTGGGTTTTTCCATAATGCTGATGACTGCCATGCAAGAAATAGCACTGTCTTGGCTCCTCCAAATCTTTCTGGAGAACAGAGGCCTTGTTAACTCTCTGTTAATAGTCCATTTAGTTCATTATGGTGGGGACACAATCTGCTAGGTTCAAAATAGAAAATAATCTAAACCAAAACTTGTCTTGCCACCACACAAGATGTTAACAGATGTTGTATTGTCTCATCTTCTGCCGATGCTTGGATGACTCAACTCTCTGAGATCCCAATGGATTTTGTCACCAGACAAATTACATCGGTTGCTTCTGATGGAGCCCAGCTGTCAACACTCCTCTCCAAGCTCCGATCGACGTTTGCTGCTCCCAGCTCTGCTCTTGGCCCGGGTCCTTCAGCCTCGCAGAGGCTCATCCAGTCAGATCCTCCTCAACAGCAGCTCTGCAATCACAGTCCAGTGGTCACAAGATCCAATGGTTGACCTTTGCCACCCCCCATTAGCCTTCCAGGAGGCGCCTTGATGGCACCTGATGACGATGACAACAAGATGGACGATCGCAATGCGCAGCCAGATCAGGTTGCAGATACAGGAAAGGTCAAACAAACTGCACTCCAACTCGAGGAAGGAAGAATCTACATTTTGGACTCTATGGCGGCGTTTCAGCGCCATGGCTCTGTCCAACCTGATGTCGGGTGGTTGGGTATGGGTGCTGTGCTGGTTTCCAGCACCTGTTCCCCGTCCACTCGCCCCACACTACAGTTCAAGTTCAAGGTGGCCATGATGGTGGAGCTCGGCTTGCAGCTCGCGATGATCCTACTCAGCGTCTTACCCAGGCTTCTACACAGGCTCCGGCGCCAGCCTCAAGGGCACCACAGGAGCCATGACACGCTTGGCATGGAACTGTCGAGGCTCAGGTGGGAGCCTTCGCAGTTCCAAGATGACTCACCTCGCCCGCCTACTCTCTTCAACTAAAGCCCAGGTATGTTTCATCTCAGAAACCCGGAACTCTTCAATCACACTTCTATTATAAATCGTTTTAATTATAATGATGCTTTTGTTGTTCCTGCTCAAGGCCAGTCTGGTGGCCTTTGGCTGATTTGGAATGATGAAGTTGATCTTACTGTTGTTGACCATAGTCATCATTTCATCTTTGCGTTATGTCTAAATAAGCTCAGTTTAAAGCAGTATGGTCTCGTCTGCCTCTATGGAGACCCTCACCACCACGCTACTAGTAGTATCTGGAGTCAAGTGCTTAATTTTGTTGTAAGTAATAGCACTTTGCCTATCTTATGTATGGGAGACATGAACAATATTATGCATGTTAATGAGAAGTTAGGTCCCACTAGGGCTGATGTTAGACGTATCAATGATTTCTGTGCTCATGTCAAGCAGTGTGGTTTTATTGATCTGGGTTACAGTGGGCCTGCTTACACTTGGACTAATAAACGTTTCTCCACTAATCCTACTTACGAAAGACTTGACCGATGTTTAGGCAATGCAGAATGGTGCATGGCTTTTCCTGCGACGACGATTTACCACCTGCCAATGATGCACAGCGACCACGCTCCCATTCTTGCCGTTCTTAATTCTCAACGTTTTCGTTCTACTAAACCATTTCGCTTTGAGAATTGGTGGTTGCAGGAACAGGAATACCATACAATTGCTTGCCAGAGTTGGCAGCGATCCGCCTCCAGAACTTTTACCCAAAAAACCAGATTCCTTGCCTCTGACTTGCGCAAATGGAGAAGGAGCAAGCCCAGAAATTCTGATCTTCTTGCTGCCATTGAGAACCAGCTTCTTGACCAACAATCCAAGCCTCCTAGCCACCAAGATTACTCCCTTCAAGAGCATCTCACCCATCAGCATCATGACCTCCTTGCCAAAGAAGAAACCTATCACCTTCAGAGAGCCAAAAAAAATTGGGCCATCTTTGGCGACCGCAACACCACTTTCTTTCACCATTCCATTGTTAAGAGAAATAGAAAAAACCGGATCACCCATCTTATCAATCCGGATGGCTCTCAATCCACCACCCCAGATCAGCTTGCCTCCACTCGTTCATTATTTCCAGACCATCTTCACTTCCCAGAATCCACATCCCAATCAGCTCTGACTCCACTCTCCTCACCCGTGTATCTCTTCTCCTCAGGTCGCCACCCATCTCAACCTACCCCCTGTGTCGCCTCAACCTCTGCATGCCACCCCTCTGCCGGACCATTCCGTGACTGGAACTATACTTCCACCAGCTGATGACAGGTATACCAATTCTATACCTGATTTGACTGAACTCCATGACATTGTAAAACAGATGAGAAGCAACGCTGCCCCTGGTCCTAACGGTCTCAACGCTGCATTCTACAAATCGGTGTGGTCATGGATTCAGCAAGATGTACACAATTTGGTAACTGAGTTTTATACCTCTGCCTACCTCCCTGCTGAGATTAATAAAACCTACATTACTCTCATCCCTAAAAAGGATCAATCGGTTATACCTCAGGATTTTAGACCCATTAGCCTTTGCAATGTCATTTATAAAATAATTTCTAAGTCTCTGGCTAACAGGCTAAAGAATCACCTTCCTAATTCCATTGATCATGCCCAGGCGGCCTTTATTGCAAATAGACATATTTCTTCTAATATTATCATCACTCAGGAACTTATCCATTCCTTTAATTTAAAAACCTGGAACCACAATGCTTTTATTCTTAAAATTGACTTGGCTAAGGCTTTCGATAGATTGGAATGGGATTTCATCAGGTCGGCTCTTCAACGGCAAGGTTTTAATGAACATTTTATCAATCTCATTCATGCTTGTATTACCTCTCCATCCTTTGCAGTTTTAGTTAATGGTGAGCCGTCTACCACTTTTATTTCTCAGCGTGGTCTACGTCAAGGTTGTCCCCTCTCCCCCTATCTTTTTGTGATTGCTATTAATGAACTATCTATTCGTCTTCAATCTGAACTGCATAACAGGAACCTCTCAGGCATCACCTTGGGCCCTGGATGTCCTGCTATTCACTCTTCCTCTTTGCGGATGATTTGATTCTTTGCGGCCACGCCACCGTCGCTGAAGCAGAAGCCATTAAATCCATCCTCTATGACTTCTCGCAGCTTTCGCTTCCAGAGAAAGACCTGGACTCCTCGGCAGGTACATCACGCAGTTGCTGCGCACATTTCTTCTCATCAGCAAGAGCAGGATACAGGAACAAACACCACAGCTTTCCAAGCAGCTGGACTGGACCAAAGATCTACCCATCCACCGGCAACTGGGTTTGGCCGGAACCAACAGGCAACTGGGCTTCACCTGAACCAACAAACCGACCACAACAACCAAGGAATGCTAGGTATGGCCTCTACAATTGCAGGTACCCCCTCACAGCAGGCAGACAGGTATACCGTCCAGATGCCGGCGCTTCTCCCAGGAGTCCGATGCTATGTTGATGCATCGACCGTACCTGACCATCCATCACTGCCACCTAGGATGGCTGGTCTTGGAATTCTCTTTGTTAACACGCAGGTACAGCCGGCGCAAACTATTTTCATCAAAGCGCAATTGACAGGAGTCCAATCGGTGCCTATAGCAGAAGCGGCTGCCTTAGCACTGACTGCAAGGGTGAATGAGAGCCTCAACTTCGACAACACAATTTTCTTATCAGATTTTCAACAGTTGGTGCATTTCCTCAATCAACAAGACCACACGCATCCCCCAGACTGGAGAATCAAATTCTTTACTCAATCATTTACCAATTGCTCGGTTCATCGACGGGCAAAGATTCTCAAAATCAACAGGAACCTCAACACAACTGCTGATGGCCTAGCTAGACAGGCTTTCTCTGCATCTGGCACTAGATATCAGCCTGTATGCTCTTATTTGCATCACAATCACCAGTGCCCACTAGTGGAAGCACTGAACTCTGTAAACATGCAACATGTAACCTTACTGTCAGCTTTTTGCTGCTAATATAATATCGTTTGTTGTAAAAAAAAAAAAAAACCGTCTTTCTGCCAAGACCGTTTGAGCTTTTGACTTATCTTGATCAAAGGCAGAGATCTGAACTCTGATCCCACTTTGGATCCATGTGGAATTCGATCTAAAGGTGCCGTAGAGATCGTGCCTGATCATAACAGTTTCCAGACAGGGGACGTCTCGCTACAGGTAAATATTTTAAAATGGTATACAGGATAATTAGCACCATTCTCGATTCTCAAGCGTTGGATGAATAAAGCAACTAGCAAGCAGCAACGGGCAGTTACATGCGCAGGGATTGCCTATTGATATCTTCAGGGAGACAGATCACATGCCAATCCTTGCGATCCAACAGCTTAGCTTTTCCTCATCTTGGACCTTGCGTACCTGTTTGCTAGAGTTAAAGGAAACAAGGACATATAACGACGCCTCATGTCAAGTCGATGAAATAAATTGTACAGTGCAATGTGGATCTGTCATAAGCCAGGAGTAATTTTCAATAGTGACACATCACTGGCGACAGCAATTCTAGGCTTCTAGCCACCTCAATTGCATAGCTACCGGACATGATAAGCCGCAGCCGGCTGCTACTTCTTTGACTCCTCTCACAAATTACTACCTACAGTAAGCAGCTGCTGGCTGCAGCTTATTTTAAGTTGCATAGCTACCGGACATGATATATTGAGCCTAACGTACCCAAAATCAAACAATTGTGTCTCTTCGAAGCGAGGACCAAACATATGGTTACCATTTCATGGCAAATGCAAAACGATCTTCAAAACTCAAAAGGTGAACACCACGGAAATGGCAAACCAACACCAAACCCAATGTAATCCGAAACCCAAATGAGAGACATTAACTTGTACTTGACCTGTGAAGGCCAGAAAAAGGACCCTTCGGCCACAAGCCCACATCCGTGTACCGTGTACGGTTCTGAACCTTTCGACAATACCGGGCGATCAGAAAACGAAAACATACTCGTAGTCGGGACGGAACCGGAGTTGATCACCAACTGTCTTCTGACGAGACAGTGCAACATTTTGACTTCCCTTCATCATTGGCAGAGATCTGGATTCTGATCCCATCTTGGATTCACGTGAAATTCTATTTTAAGGTGCCGTAGACATCATGCCTGATGATATGATGATAGCAGTTTCCAAACACGGACATCCCGATACAGGTAAACATTTTACAATGGTATACAGGACAATTAGCACCGTTCTCGATTCTCACGCCTGGATGAGCAACTAGCAAGCTACATGCAGTTACATGTGCACTTGTGCAGGTATGCCTACTGATACCTTCTGGAAGACAGGAGATGACATGCCAATCCTTACGGTCCAGCAGCTTAGCTTTTCCTCATCTTTGACCTTGCGTACCTGTTGCTAGAGTTAAAGGAAACAAGGACATATAACGACGCCTCATGTCAAGCCAATGAAATAAATTGTACTGTACATTGCACTGTGATAAGCCAGGAGAATTTTCGACTATGACACATCAATGGAGAATGGTGGCAGCAATTCTAGCCGCCTCTGTTGCATAGCTACCGGACATGATATTTTTAGCCTAACATACCCAAAATCAAACAATTGTGTTTCTCCTTTGAAGCGAGGACCAAACATTTGGTTACCATTTCATGGCAAATGCAAAACGATCTTGAAAACTCAAAAAGTGAACACGCAAATGGCAAACCAATACCAAAACCAATGTAATCCGAAACCCAAATGAGATAATTAACTTGCACTACCTCCGTCCACAAAAGAATGCAATTATATGTGCATTCTTGGTTAACGTGTCTAAAGTTTGACTAAATATTTAGATAAAAATATTAACGTCTATGACACCACATTAGAATGAGAATATATCTAATGAAAAACCTAATGATACTCATTTTGATATTATAAATATTGATATTTTTTATATATAGTTAGCCGAACTCAAGATACTTTAACATGATATTGTGCTATAATTGCATTCTTTTCTTGACGGAGGGATTACTATGAGATTCCGAACCCAAAAGAGATAAATTAACTTGTACTATGAGATGCCTTTGGTACTCCTGGCTTTTCCGATAAAAAACTTACGGTAGAGCATCTGACATCCTTTCGATAGAGAAAAAAAAAAGATACCTTATGCTACTGACACATATACAGCAAACAAACAGAAATATTGCAACAAAAGCAAGTAATTTTGAGGATACTCAATGTGCAATCCATCGCTATCAGAAGAAGCCAATACAGTGCCTTGGAGGCTGTTCATAGCAGCTGTAGACGATTCAATATCCTGCATATTGCAACCGCCTGCCTCAGGCTCTCGGTAAAAATAAAAGGTAAAAAAAATATGGTGAAATAATGAGGTGTCACTCTAAGAAAAAAAAAACGCATCCCTTATAGCCTTTTAAAAATACGGTGCTTGTTTATTCATGCTAATAGAACCAGCATTTCACATTGGCTTAGTTTAAACTTAATAAGTGATCTTCAGAAACTTCACTAACTGGGAGTAACATGCAAGGAAAAAATGTGGATACATCCTTCATTTTTATTTTTTAGACCACAGAACAGCAGTAGATCAAGTCACTAGCTAAATTAATAAAGGTATAGGTAGGTATACCGTAAAATCAGCAAAAGCTACAGGCATTCCACCATGGCGACGCATTTTAAGGACATGAAACCCAGGTTCCCTGACAATATAGAACAACAATGATCAGTTTCATTACTATGGGTCCACTTCACAAGCAAATTAGAAGAATTCACACATCATACTTGGATAAAACTTCATTTAGTTCGTCCTCTGTGCATGTGTGTCCCAAATTTGCAATAAAGAGAGTAGAGCAAGGTGGTATATCATTCGAAGATTTATCTCGTCCATCCTACACCAAACAGGCCATATTATATCAAGCTTTATACATGTCAAGCAAGCTTTAAATAAGAAACAAAAGAACTTGTAAAAAAATCCATCCACTAGTTTGATTGGTGGATAAGTCAAGATACTAGATGATTCTTCAGACAAGAAATGCAAATATATCCACATTTCAAGAATGGTTTGGCAAGGGTTCTCTAGGTGCTATTAAAATTAGTAGCCCCTACAGGCACAAACGCATGTTGTTCAAGTAACAATCTAATGAAAAATTGACAGCTACTTACAATGTTTCATAGGCTTACAGCACTGTGTGCAGTTATTAGTTATTACAACTATGATGTAGGTATAACTATGTGAAGTGAAACCATAACAATAAACTCACATTTGAGAGAGATTGCCCATTCTGCTTGTTGTGCCCTGGTTGATCACTGCCCATTAAAGGAAACATTATTAGTGATAAACCACTAAAAGACCCATGAAAAGTTGATAACACAAGAGAAGCAGCTTTGGTGTTTTATTAAGATAAATACAAAGAAAGAGATCGTCTCCAACTATGTGTAATATGAAGTGCGTGTCAACCTCTGATCCGCAGGCAATTCATTCTTATCACTGGAATTTTCATTTTCTGTGCCCGATGGCTCATCTGATTCTCCATCACCTACACGTTTGGTGTCAACAAAAATGTGCAGGTGAGGTTTATGCTATGATTAATTATAGTGCCTTCGGAAATCCTAGACTGCATTTGTTTTATTAAAAGAGTGAGAAAGTTGCCGCACCCTAATTTGGTGCTATGTCAATCTTAATTCAGTCCTAGTTACAATGTGTAATCAACATGAAAATTTTCATAATAAAAACGATGGACGAGGTTCCATCAAAGTCATCAACAACCTGAAATTTTAATATGACAAAGGAAAAGGTAAATACAAATCAGGTTTGAATTAGAAATTCCAGATAGTTCCAGCCTGGATTATATATCAATGGGCTAGCATTATATATTTTCCAAAGAGAGGCACACCTGAATTTCATTACCATAAATAACAAAGTTACAGAGTTTTTAATCGCACCATTGCGATTGGATAGTTGTACATGTGCGTTATTAAGATTTGTCCATGCCCTAGTAACAAGATTAGAATGTTGCCACTGGATTAAGGGCTTGCACCACATAAGCGTCATTTCATGTAACCTCATTTAACAAAACCAAAAGTGATTCATAAAGATATCAAGTAATAATGCTGACCATTATCATCATTGCCTCCATCCTCGTCTTCCCCCCACACTTCCTCATCACCTTCATCACCAACATTCTCATTATCAGCATTTCCTTCTGTTTTGTTAGCCCGTTTGTCAATAACTCGGTAGACTTCGCCACCTAATGAAAAATTACCATCAATGATTAGAGTCGACATAGTCGCTTGATAACATTAAATATCTTTATATGGTGGCATATTAACATTAAATGACGATCAAGGCAGGCAGGAAACTCTAATAATATTATGGAAATTTTTAATGGCATATAAAACACCTCCACGAGGTCTGCGTGAAGTTGATTTAGCTAGCTCGATGTGCAAACGGTCACCAGTCTCTGGATCAAAAATTGTTCCCTGAAATGGATCAAAATATTAGATCAGTTACAATAGCACTCAACCCTGAATAAATATAGCTACAAAGTAATAAGAGTTATGAATTTGTAGGCTAATTTCTATCTACTAGTGCATTCATTAAACTTGCACTTTACATGCTATAAATAAAATAAAAGTTTACATGTTGGTGAGGTTTCACAAGCACAGATATTCTTTCAGCTAGCATTTCTGAAACTCCAAGTTGGTTTTTCACTATGTGTAGCCAGAGCAATGTTTTCACATAGAATTTGTATCAACTCACTACACTATTGGTAAATGGCCAAGAAATATCTGGACATGATTTTGGACATACCTATGGACATTAAGTCAAGCACATTGTACAAGCTAACTGACTACAGATGTTGTTACACAAGATGTAGATTTAAATAATGAGCAACACAGCAATTGAATTGAAGGTGCTAGAGCCACACAATACTAAGACAGAATAATTCATTAGTAAGCTTAAGTGGCGAATATGATAACACAGTAGCTTCCAAGTTCCTCTGACCATGTAGCTGCGATCTGTGCAATGTTCCATTATTTGCATCTGGCAGGATGAATGGTAAAACTATCTAATTCTAATGAGTCAGTGACATGAACTAGAGTCCACAAAGCGCCATTGATGCCTCAGTATTGCTAAAATGCTAAATGCTGATGCTTCAGTTTAGTAGACTTCAATCCTCAAATTTCTACTCAGTTGGATCATGTGTCAGGTTCACATAATGCAGAACAATGAACACATAATTAGGTAAGATGGTTTGGCATGATTCACAAGAGAATTCAGATATTTATCCACATCACCCCGTGGCATGCTGTCGAGCAGAAAGAAAATGCAGAAGGAATTAGATTATTATTGCCCCCTGTCTTTACAGCACTAGTAACAAGTTTGAAGACAACCAACTTCATGGTTGACAGTTATGGAGCCACATACACTACAGTACAGGTATACAGCAATCATTTGGCTTACATTTAAGGAAGTCATTGCCGACAGGGCCGCCTCATGGGTGAAGAACGTCACAAAAGCAACCACCTGCGGCATAAGAATCAGAAATTCAGTGAACATAACAACATCATTGCATCGATGTACACATCCATACAGAGGCAGTATTTGCAGCAGTCTATGTTCGCTCCTCGCTATATCAATCCGGGTTGCGCTCTAAACTACACTTTAGTCTTAGACGGGCTCACAGAAGAGACAGACAGTGGTGGCCTCCTGGTGGGTTTAGCCTAGCGGAGTAGCACGGGGCAGGAGCCAAGGGCAAGGGCGATAGGCGGAGGGAGACAGACCTGGTTGCCGCGGCCGGTGTACTCGAGGAGGCAGTGGTCGAAAGCGGGGCGATGGGAGAAGAGGTTGTGGATCTCGCGGGGCTTCACGTCGTCGGGGAGCCCCGCGACGAAGAGCGTGAGCACGCCCTGCCGCTGCGGGTCCGGGTGCGGCGCATACACGTAGTAGGGGTCCACCGCCGCCGCGGCCGGGGGGAGGCGGTGGGAGAGGCTCATCTCGACGCGCCGCGGCGGAGGAGGCAAGCTCGGCTCGGCACGGGCGGGGGCGGGGGCGGGGGCGGCGGCGGCGGCGGCGGGCGTGCTTCCTCTTCCTCTGCTCGGTTCACTGCCGCCGACCGGGACTGCTGCCTTCAGCGGAAAAAAAAAAAAAATTTGGGTGCAGGCCCAGTGCGTGTGTCGATTTGGCAACTCGCGCACTGGGTTTTGGGAGGCGAAATTCTTGGAGCCGAGCCAAATTGCAGCTGCGTCTCCAACCTAAAATTTCTTTCTGTTTATTAAGGGAATGTTCGGAACACGGAAAAAACGATTTGTTCCTTTGTTTTTTTTTTCCTAGAAATTGAACTGATTCATGTAAAAGGGTATGTCTGAAACGTGAAAAAAAAAAAATTGTGTCTGTCATTTTGTATGAAATTGAACTGATTTGTGTAAAATCCCTACATTATTCCTATATAGAACATGTTTAGAATATAGGAATTTATATAGGACACGTTTAGAATATAGGAATTTCACATGAACCAGTTTAATTTCATATGAAAAACATAGAAACAGGAATTATTTTCAGGGGTTCCAAATACGCCGTAAAATTCCTACATTAAGAGACCCCTAACTATATAATGTATAATAGGATAAACAAAGTTTTAGTGCTACTAGGTCAGAAGCATTTAAACGCGATAAACATCGATTTCACTTGCAGTCCTGCATTGAATATGCTGGTAGCTTGAGATGGATCATCACAAACAGTACGGCAGAAGCACAGCACAGCCTGTTCCATCTTTCAGAAACCAGAAGGCTGAGACCAATTGAAGGCTGGTGGCATCCATGCCTGTTCCATCTTTCAGAAACCAGAAGGCAGAGACCAATTGAAGGCTGGTGGCATCCATCTTTCAGAAACCCTGGCATCCATCGTTCAGAAACCAGAAGCCACGACAAGATGAAGGCCGGTGGCATGGCACTGCTGGTCCTCTAAGACATAGGCCCTGATCGCTTGTGTTATAATCCGTACTTTTCAGCTTATTTTTTCAGGCAGAACAGTATTTTTCTCTCACAACAAATTAGCCAGAACAATATTTCACCTTTTTTTTCAGCGAAGCGAACAGGGCCATAGACCATTGGTCACCTGAACATTGATCCCCAACGAGGAAAACCAGATCACTGATCACGCGGGCATGCTCAAGCTCCTCGCAGGCAAAACATGCTAGAACAAAAGCTTCTTCCATGGAGTTGCTATTTGCGGCAGCATTTTATGCACGCGATGCTCTACATCCCATTTACATCAAAAGATTACAACCGAGGACACATTGATCCCCAACGAGGAACACCAGATCGCTGCACGGGCATGCTCAAGCTCCTAGCAGGCAAAACATGCTAGAACAAAAGCTTCTTCCATGGAGTTGCTATTTGCGGCAGCATTTTATGCACGTGACATTTACATCAAAAGAATTACAAGCGAGCAACACACTATTCAAGTTATCGGTTATGCAGCGGTAGAACTTAGAGTTCCAGCAGAGCAAGTCCAGGGTAATAATGTAGAAAAAGGGAAAAGTACAAGATACATGATAGGGTTTGAGACCATAAGTTTTCAAGTTTCACCGACCCAGAAGTGCAACACGGTCCTTCTGGATCACCTGAGCCAGATTGTGATCAAACAGCTCACACCGAATCGGCATCTCCATCTCATAGAACGGATTCTTCAAAACAAAGTCCGTGTACAGCTCATAAATCACTTTCAGCAGCATTTCCATATTTGGAGCTCCAGTTTCGCATACAACGAAAAATTTTGTCCCTGAAGCAAGTGAAGCAATCAGAGCATATACTATAAGCGAAACAGGCCAATTTGGGTGAGTTACTATTCAATTATTACAGATCACAATCTCAAACAACCAAAAGATAACAGCATAAGTTAACTCTAGAGAGAAATCAATCTACCCCAAAGATATATTTCAGCTGCACAATGGTTCAAATGAAATTATCCATGGCTCCAACAACAATTGTTTTGCAAATGGACTGTAACAAGTTTCAAAATCTCCATTTTCTACCATAACATTCAAGCCCTCACTTCCCCGAAAAAATCTCACATGCTACAAAATCTTGCCATTCCTTAGTTAAAAACACGGCTACTTAGCGCCGCCATAATTCTGACTACAGTGGCAAAGTAATAGTAGATAATGCAAGTATTTCCCACACATGTAATGGTCAGCACACAACCATATATGATTTGGTGCTATATGCAATATCAATGAGATCATCCTCTTGACATGTAGAAGGGGGGAAAGTAGAATTGTTCAAGTTTACGACTTACTGTATACTTAAATCAGAGATTGTAAAAAAATTGATTCAGTAATGAAACCCACACACACCAAGTATGCATTAGCTCAGAACTATAGGATGCAGACCAGATCTATGAACTGTTAAGCAGACATACCTGTGAGGGATTGAAAGCAATGGAGATCAAAGTTATGAGCTTGTAAGAGATCAATGCCAGTACAGCCAGGGGTAGGGGAGAGTTGCTGGGAGATAGCATGCATCGAATGCCAGAGACTTGCTAATCTTAGAGTGTCATTGGTATCCATCCTCCCTGCTGAACCATAGTCCTGGAGATATGTGCAGGTTCTTCAGATGACGTGGTTGACAGCTCGAGGTCTAGAATAACTCAATAAAGTAGAGAAAGGGGATCCCCGGAACATACCTTGTAGTATATAAGGCCGCCAGATTTGTTAATGATGAAAAGGTTATAGATAGCTGCTAGTGCCATAGTCAACAAAGAAGGCGGAGTAGAGATAAAAGTAAATTTCCTGTATCAGCTCCAGAGAAACATCCAGAGCCCTGTAAAATTCTTGATAAGTGTAACAGTAACAGATAATTAATCCAGTAAAGAACACTTCTCATAGGCATTTAAACAGTTCAACTTTTCTGAATGGATACTTTCTCGATCGGATTAAGATCTCTCTGATTTGGACTTTAATACAATATGAACACCAAGCTCAAAATGTTAATTCAGTATCAGTACCCATTGTTCAAATTGCATAATATCTTTTGCTAATATGCAGCAAATGCATAACTGATGCTCCAGTTCATGTCCAACGATTCAAATTGGTCATGAAACAGTAAATTAATGCACTTACAAACCAATATGATTTCTTTTGTTTATAAAGAGCCTCGATCTGTCTGATAAGATCACAATATGTGTCACTGAATTTGTGAACACATTTTATTATCCTAATAAAAGATAAAAGCATAAGCATATATTATATCTTCTCCTGTGACACCTGATTCATCTAATAACGAAGACTACATTCTCAGCTATAAGGATCTCGGATTATCTCACATGCTTAGGCTCTGTGCAAGCTGTGAGGTACGACGGAGAGGTCTGGATCTAGGTTCATATTTCGTTTTCAAAGAGACCAACACAGGGGCGGATTCAGCAGAAACATCCATCCGACACGCAGGAGCGGACCCAAAACACACTTGTAACTGGATCAGACCAGATCCGAGTACAGATAGCTTGGGTTTGGGTGCTCCGTTTCGCACGGCAGGAAAGGAAGACAGATGGCGTACCTGGTGGGTGCTCGTCGCCGGCGAAGGTCCCGAAGATGGGCGATGTAGGCACCTGGCGTAGGTCTGGGCCGACGCCACAGAGAGACAGAGCGCACGCGAGGGGCACGAGACAAGCGAGAGAGAGAGGGAGAGGGAGTATGCCGGAGGTGAGGGCGCTGGGAGAGTGGAAGCACCGAGGCGGCGACTCGGCGAGGGGGCACGGGAGACAACCGAGAGACGGGGCGGGGCGAACTTGGAGAAAGAGGCAGACAGCAGACGAGATGCCGGCACGCCGCGGAATCAGATCGCCTGACTTCACTACCACCGACGTATGGCTGCAGTCACGAAAATCAAACCGTCCACTCGTCAACCTGCGTGCTCGATCAGGTGCGTGTGCGTGCTCAGGTGCTCAGGTTCCAGCGTACTCTGATCTAGTTCCCAGCGTCCTCTGATCTGGTTGCTTTTCTCTTCCCTAATAACTCATCCGATTGTTTTGGGTTTGATTCAAGGGAAAATCTGCATGTTTGAGATAGAAGATTGAGGGAACTGTTGCATGCGTCAAAACTAAATCTAAATATTCAAGATGGAAGAGAAAAGGTGTGATACACCATGGCTATTACTTTTTGCCCATGAGATCTGATAGAGTTCTTTGTTGTTCAGATAATATTCGAAGCTTTTCAAGATGAATACGAAAGGTCCATGGCAGCATACACCACGGCATTAGAAGGCAACAATGGATATTTTGTGTCAATGGAGTCTTGATGGAACTTTTACATTGGAGGAGTATAAAGTTATTGGTGATCTTTTAGAAAAAACCAGTACCTACAGTTGTGGGCAGTTTAGCAGAATTAGAATATTGTGTGCACATGCTCTAAAGGTCCTTAATTTGATGAATATCAAATCTCTACCCACACAATATGTATTGAAGCGATGGACACGTGAAGCACGTAGCGGAACAATACAGGACAGCCATGGCCGAGGCATAATAGAGAATCCAAGATTAGACGAAATACTTTGTTACAAAAATATGACCTGCAAATTTTTAAATTTAGCACGTAGAGCTGCTAGACATCCAGGGTGCATCTTGTTAGTACACAATACACTTTGACATTCTTAGCAAGCAAGTTGAAGAAGAAATTACTGGTTGCACTAATAATGTGAAGGTAGTCACAGTTCCCATGAATATTACTCCCTCAAGTGATTTGGTTGAAAGGCACGAGAAACTACAGAATTGACACAAGAAACTACAGAAGTACAGGATATTCCTCCTAGCACTTCATGGCCCAATGAAGGGATGTCTGAACCATACTTGACTATCAATTCTTTCTCTCAACTATTGATGGTAGTATTTCTAAATGATGATTTTTTATGTCCAGATATGCACAAACTCGAGGCAGAGTCAGACTGTGGACGGAGATGCAGATTCGAAGCAGAGGCAGAGTCGACGGAGGTGCGGACTGGAG